TGGGTTCAAAAACAACTGGGACAACACACACACACACACACACACACACACACACACACACACACACACACACACACACACACACACACACACACACACCACAGACACACAAACATGTTTCAAAACAAAACACAGCAGCAACAACAACAAAGGTGGAGGGGTCTTGTGGAAGTTCACTGAGGTCATGCCCTGGAAGGAGATGATGGGACCCAATGCCTCTCCTTCCTCTCTTTGAGTCCTAGTTGGGAGGTGGGGGGACAGCTATGTTCCACGTCATCTGTGCATGATGCACTGATTGCCCAAAGCAACAAGGTCAACTCATCCTAACTAGAACTTTCAAACCTGTGAAGCCAAACAAACTGCTCCTCCTACAGACATTAACTATCTCAGGTGTTTCCTTATAATACTGGAAAGCTGACTAACACACTCGGCCAGTAATGGTAAATCTTTTAGAGCTTTCCGGTGATACAAACAGCCCATTGTGGTACATGTGCCAGTGGTTCACCAGTACTACACTAGGGAATGGATATTTCGGGGGGCCTACCATTCCATCTGGAATTTATCGGTTTACATTCCCATCAACAATACAGTTAGATGACAAGTACTCAGTGTCTCACCAACAAACTGCACTCTCGCATCTTTAAACATCTGCCAATGATAAGTGAAGAAAGGCATATATTTTAGTTATAACTTGTATTTCACTAATAAGATTGTGTTTCTTTTATGTTTTTGTTCTTTATGTTTTTACTTCAATATGCAGGATTTATTATACATTTATAACACAAACATTTTTCTTTTGACATATATTGGATGTATTTCTCTTTGCTTCTCATCATTACTTGTATTTTGAATTCTGATATAGTTGGAGATGATTTATCCTCATTTCTTAGGTTTTCGTATTTAACATTTGAACTCTGGTAGCATTGAAGAAGATTTCTATGTATCATGGCAATATCTAGACCTACTCTGTCCTTTTCATATTTTAAAAGTATACATCTATTTACTTAGGCATCATTTACTAAAAGTAGTAATATTTACTTTGCATAACCTGTAGTATCTAGGTTATTATATACTTAATTTCCATATTACATAGTTCTATATATGACTTTTTATTTTGTTTCTTTATTTCTTTTTATTCATGAACTATTACTACATTGTTTTAATTACAAAGACCCGTATCATGGATCACTCTAAGGTTAAACTGGATTTTCTTTGGATTATTTTTTCTTGTTATTTCTGGGTTGTTTTTATTTATTTTGCCACATGAAACTTCACATCAATTTCTGTACCACAAAAAAAACAATAAACTAACAAGCAATTTTATTGACATTGAGATGAATTTATGAATTAGCTCGGAAGGAAACTTATATTCTTATACTGAATCATCCATTTCACGAAGACAGACTATTTTTCAATTCCTTCAAATCTATTTTCAAACCTTTCAGGTGCTAGATGTTAAAAACACCTAATAATGGATTTCACACATCTTCTTACTCAGTGTAAGTAAAAAATACAGCAATAGCACCTGATGTACCAATCAGAGAATTCTAACTATGAGATAGTTCTCAGAATTCTCTTTTCCCCAACAGATCCACTTTTCTTTCCATATCAGGAAAGTTAATGAAATGAAGATAAAAATACAACAGGAAAGATGAGAAAGATTCTTCATCATCTGTGCCTTACTTCTTGCATAGCTTTTCTCTGCCTACATAGCTAATTGAATATTTAGTGGAATTGTAGCCCATAAATTTCATGTTCATTTATAATAAAAATCTGAATTAAACAGGTAAGCACTGTAAAACACCCCTAGAACAACAATAGTTATATAGCATAACACACCTAAGTCTTCATTTGCTCATTTTTCACTGTCAGTAAATTCTGTCAGTCAAACTTGCTCATCTATCTTTAAGGACAGAGGAAAGCACACAAGAGAGATATACCCTTAATCTTCATGCTACATAATTAATATTTTGCTATTATTGCAAACTACTGCATTGGCTTTTAAATTTATGTTCTAATTCTTTATAAAAATACAATGAATTTTTTGAATTAAATGTGTTTGGGAAAATGTTTAATTTAGGAATTACAACAGATTCTTTTCTAATCGTTAGTTTTATTGTTATTGCTACTATCATTATTAGTTCTGCGTAGAGAAAGTTGCAGAAACTCCAGGACAATGACTAATAGAAACAGGGGAAGAAGAAATGTATTATTTTCTTCTCAAGCTCGGGAGGAAACAATTCATTGTTTTACCATCATGTAGCATGTTAGCAAAAGTTTTGTCCTTGTTTTTACTTTTAGATACAGTTTATCAATTTCTATGTCAGCCCCCATATATAAAGCACATAGTCAGTCATTATTCTAATTCTTGTAGTAGGAAAAACCTCAATATGTTAAAAATTCATTGAATCCACCCACTTTCAGAGATTGCAGAGCAATTTATCAAAGAGTAGAGACACAGGTGCTCTAAAATCATGACCAACACTAGTTTACCTGGCACGGAAGCTCGTGGAACCCTAAATTTGAAAACAAACTAAAATGGCAATTTTGACAAATTGTGCACTAGTGTGAAAATGAGAAACTTTGAGGGTCTGGTCTTAGGAAGACCTCTGTACTTTACTAGGCTTTGTTTGTTGGTTTGTTTGTATTGGAAGCTACCATCCCAGTTTATGGTCTTTTATTGTTTTATTAGTGCACATATTCCACTCTCTGTGTGGAACTGGTACATTTACGAAACACATATTAGTTTATCATTGCCTTTCTCCTCTCTTCCTTCATCTTCTGATCCTATTCCCAATACAGAAAGATCTATCTTCCTACTTCCTATTTTCTATCTCTTATTCTCCTCATTATAATTTGAGTTTCTCATATAAGAGGGACCATGTGATAGTTAGTATTGTGTGTCTGATTTATTTCACTTAACATTATAGTCTCAAGGGGCATCAATTTTCCCACAAATGGCTCAAGTTTACTTTGCTTTATGGCACAGTGGTACTCCATTGTGTGTAAATACCACATTTCCTTTATCCACTCAACTTTTGACTAATATATGGGGCATGTCCAAGATATAGCTATTATGAATTGTGCTGCTATAAACATGGATATTTATGTAACACTGCAATATAACATCTTTACATCTCTTAGGAAGATATCTTAAGGTGGAATTGCTGTATCAAATGTAATTTCTAGTTTTAATATTTTTGAGGATTTTTCCATAGTGACGGCCATAGTGATTGTATTAGTTTACATTCCCACCAACAATTTTGAAGGCTTCTGTAATAATTTCATTAAATTCTTATGGTAAAGATCTAGGAAAAATTCACTCATGGCCATGGCACTGAGAAAAAAAGTAAAATACAGAGCATTCTCAAAAAAAGAAAAAAAAAAAGTCCTACACACCAGAGAAAATACCTCGTCAGAGTTTAAACTAAGATAGGGATAGGAATTATTCTTACTCCAACCTCTGTCAGCTTCTTTTCTTACCTATATCCAGTTTAGAAGATGAGAACTTGTGGGGGTTGATACTTCAATCTTCATAAAATGTGTAGGAATCCCTGTAGCCAGAGGAAAGGGTAAGGCTGAGAGAACAAACTCTACAAAACTCTGGAGAAAAATTTGTAAATGTCAACATTTTGAGGTCTATCTAAAGTCAGAGATTTCATTGAAAGACTATCAAATGATAACTTTCTCCTAAAGTATAATATCACCCCAACAGGATTCCTGCATAATCTTGATTAGAGCACTAGAGTCACATTAACATGATTCTGAAATTAAAAGGCCAAGAACTTAGTATAATGTATGCATATCATTTTTACTATATATATTCTCTTAATTATTGAATTAAGTTTATAGTAATATAATTTTACTCTGTCCTTGCCTTTTTCTAAGTAAAATTTACTTGGACATGAAGTATTTTTTGATTTCATATGTTCCAGGTTTAAATGTACTAAGAATTTTGCATTTGTGCCAACAACAAATACTGTTTATAATTTTCCAGGCAGAATATTTGACTACATTTTAACACTGTGATTTTGTTAACTTAAAAAAAAGTATAGGTGTATTCTATTACTTCTTATTGTCTGGAAGGAAAACTGTTAAAAACTCATCAATGAAATCATCAAAACTTAATATTTCCTTTTTACCATAATTTTAATGATGCATTCAATTTTATATGAGATATAGTACTATTCATATTTTATTTCTTCTTGGAACACTTTGCCAAATTTAAGACAGTCATATTTAGGTGAGACAAGAGGTAAATGGCTTTCAGTTTTGCATTAGTTTTTTAAAATTTTTTATATTTTCACTTTTTCATTATAAATGTTTTCAATACTGAATACATTCAGCATACATCCATCTCCTAATTTAGCAATATATATGGAATTATAAAAATTAAATTATATTTGATTATTACTGTAGAGTTCTCTTTAACCTTTAGAAATAAAATTTCAGTGTTTTCCTAGAGAAGAAAATATAGATACTGGTTATGATAAGGATAACAAGAAAGAGAAAGAGAAATGATAAAAAGGGGTAAACAAAAAAGACAAGAGGAGAGTGAAAAGATGGTAAAAAGAAAAAGAAAGCGGAGGAAAAGATAAAGTTAAATATATTGTTAAAATTTTATGTGAAGAAAATGTAGCTTATTTGATGATTATATTAAACATGACAGGAAATTCATTGTGATATAAGAATTGAAGTTCAAAACAAATTTACTATGTCACAAAAACTTTATTATTAGGCACCAGACCGCGAGAGGCAAAACTTTATATAACATAATGATTCTTCATCGAATACAGAAGCGTAACACTGAAGAACTTTATTAATCAAATGCCAATATCCAGTCCAGTTTGTTTTTTGGTATATTTGTTGAAAACCAGGAGATTCATATAGCAGTTTAATGATCAGTGCAAGAAAAAGTGTGCAAATCATAGAATCAAGCTCCCCAAAGAACCTGTTTTACAGAAAACTCAGTCGTGCATTCTCAATTTTCAAGTACTTATTCAATAAAAGCCAGAAGACCAGGATCCTCCATAGCATGATGGGCGGCAGCATCCATATCTGTACCCAGAGCCATAGCCATAGCCAGAACGAAGACCATAGCCGCCATAGCCACAGCCACAACCCAGGGGGCGGAAGCTGCCACAGCCGCAGCCGTAGCTGGAGCCCAGGCCTCCAAAGCCTCCGTACCCGAAACCCAGGCCTCCGTAGTAGCTGCCGTAGTAGCTCATAGTGTCAGGGTGCTGCGTTTGGCTTGGTATTGCAGGTCAGCTGTGTGAGTGAGACTGCAGAGGGGCATTTATATACTCTGACCAGTGTGAGCGCCTCTAAGTGTCGTCTATTGTAAACTATGCCAACAGTCTGCCTCCTAACCCTACCACGTCTTCCACTTGTTTATGTAATTAGTTATTTAAAAGTTATGCAATATGTTTGATGTTCTGCTTTACATGCATGCCTAGAAAAATATTTTGCCTCTAATAAAATACCGTGATGTTTATAGTCTCCGAGTTTCAGAGTTTCCAACTCCGTAAACAAATCATGTGTTCACATTGCTCCCCAGGAGGCTGCTTTTATCCTCTTATTATACCCATTCCTGTGACGTTCCATGGCTGCTGATTGTCCTCCAGTTTAACTGTGCTATATCAATTCTACCAAGAATTTGCATATATTAAACTATGATTGTTCCCTGAAATTCCAGCCCTATTTTTAAAATGGCATCAACTATAATGTACATGTTAATACCACACGGCATTAAGGTCCGCTGAGTGTCACATTTAATAATGCATTGAGGACATTTCATTTTTAATAGAGCCACAAACTCATGCAAAGAAAATGTGTCAACACCATGTGTTCTGCAGAGACCGCCTTCTTGCTAAATACCAATGAAGACTGCATAAAGTCTGGCTATTCTCGCACAAATAGCTTCATCTGCACAAACTTATTTATATTTCAGATTCAAAATTCTTTTCAATCATAGGACTACATAATTACAGAGTTAAAGAAATTGGAGGCAATTTATTCCAGGGTCCACTTTAACATTTAATTTTTATTTTATCATTGAGCAAACTGTGACTCAGAGAGACTAACCAAATTATGCAACAATGACCTTTAGTGGCAGTTTAGGACGAAGACACATGTGATTCTGTTCTTCTGTTTAGCTCGGCAGGTATCTATGAAATTAAAGACACAACTGCTAGTTTAAAAATTTCTTGTGCCACATTGTTCAACTGTCTTACTTTCTTCTATTTGTTTATTAACCCTATCATAACAAATGTATACAATGTGAAAACAGCATATAACAGTATGCTCAGATACTTCTAATTTTTAACAACTCAAAATAATAGAATTTAACAAAAATAGATGGAATTTGGAGTTTCCACTGTACTTAAGAAACCATTCAATTATCAGTTTATTGAGTAAGAAGTAATTAGCTGCTTATGTATAAGTACATTGATGATGTCTTGAAACATACAAATGGAATGGAATTATTAATAATAATGAACTCTATTGTACTCAACTGCAGTTAGAAGAATTGGGGTTGCATACAACTGGATGTTGTTTCAAAAAACAAAATCATCTTTAATACTTGTCATGATCCAGAGAAATATTTGTCCTGATAGGAGCTCTATTATTATCATTAATATAGCATCTTGCAAGATCCAATTTAGGAATTAACTCCTGTACTTTTCTGGCTTTTTTTATTATTATTATTATACAAAGAGAAGCCAAATTGTGACACCGAGCATTGCCTGTACCTGAAATAGCAATTCAATTGCCTCTTCTCATTCCTAGCATATCCAGCCTCCTTCCCAGGACCAAAAGGGCCACACTTTTCCCAGTAACCCTAGGATTCAAACTTGTTTCTATAAAACAGAAGCACTCTCTTCAGTCATTGATTTTTTCTTTCTCAGTATCAATGAGTTCACAATTGAAGATGATGACAAAAATGTCTGTGAATCCTTTTGAGCTTCCAACATTTTTTAAATTTTCCTTTTAGTAAGTATAGCTTTAAAAATATTTGTCTAAAATTCAGTATTATTTTGTAGTTGCAAATAAACTGTAGAAAATCACTATTATTAAAAAGACAAAAAAAGGTAACAAGGATAGAAAGAGAACACTTATAAATTATTGATAATAATGTAAAAATATCACAGCTATAGAAACTATTGTAACAGTTATAGAAAATGATATGAAGAGTTTGGCCTCAATATACATCTATTTTCCTGTGAATGACTCTAGTTTCTCATTCTTTATGACTGAATAGTACTCCATTTTATCCAAAAACCACATCTTCTTTATCTGATGGGCAATTGGGCTGTTTCCAAGTTTTAGCTGTTACAAACTCTGCTGCTATAAACATGGGTGTGCATATATCACTGTGGTATAAGAAAAGTAAAAAATTGAAACAAAGTCTTTCTAAATTGGGAGGGATAGAGGGGATGAAGGGAAGGAAGGGACAAGGGGAAAAAATGAGAACCAAGACCTGTCATGTAAAGGTACAGGATCCCAACGATGAATGTAACTGTACTGTATACTTAAAAAGTATCAATAAATTTAAAAAAAAACAACCAATAACACAGTGATATGAAGAGATTCCTTCAAAGACTAAAGAGAGAACTGACAAATAATGCAGGAATTGCATGACTGGCTGAGCTGTACATTTAAAGAAAATGAAATCATTATATCAAAGACATACTCTCATTCCCATGTTTATTGCAACACTACTCACAACAGCTAAGATAAGGGATCCATCAAGATGCCCAAGACAGAAAACTATTCATCCATAAGAAAGAATAATACTCCATTGTCTTTAGCAAGATGGCATGAATTGGAAATCATTGTGTAAAGTGAAGTAAGCCAGACACACAAAGATCGTATATTCTCCTTTGGTGAGAGCTAAGATATTGCCAGAATGGTAAAAGGAGAGAAACTACTATGCCCTTGTGCTTCCCCTGGGTCTAAACAGCAGTGATTGATATTCTAAATAGGTATCAATCACCTGGGGGGGGCCCAAGGTCTTAACCCAGCCTTCCCAGGAAATATCCCTGACACCACCCTTACTAAAAATCCTTGTACATCTGACCCCCCCCCCACTTAATCACTATTACCTGGGTGACTGTACTTCTAATCTTACTGGTTGGTCATGGTTTTGCCCCACCTCATGCCCACCTTGTAATTTTCCACTGGGTCTTACAGTTTTGTCCCACTTTGTACCCGCCTCACCACATGGCTTTGCTGTATAAAACATCTTGGAGAAGTGGGGTGAGCGGTCAACCCACTTTCCGGTCCCCCTTCTGTCTCTCTTAGACAGAAGCTTTCTTTCCCTCAATAAATTTTTCCTACTCTAAAAAACAAACAAAAAAGGCAATGAAATGGATTAGTAATTACTAGAGACCGAGAAGGGCAGGGAGAAAGGGGGAGAAAAGAAGTTATACAAGGACAATAAAACAGTTCCTAACATGACCTAGTTCTGGTTTTGTACATCACAGTTAGGTAACTACTGGTTATAAGACATATGTCAAAACAGCTGGGAGAAAAAGGAATACAAAAGATTCCAACATATAAAAAATGACTAATGCTTTGAGGACATGGAAGTAGTTATTACTTACATTTGATTGCTACACATTGTATACAGGAATCAAATTAGCATACTGCACCCTGTAAAGATCTACAAATATTATGTCTCGGTAACAAAAGAAGCCGCAGGAAAAACAGCTAATCAAACAGAAAAAAAATCAAATTCCCTCAAAATATCTTTGAGGTCAATAAACTCTGGACACTGGCCAATTAGATAAAGTAGTAATACATAAGTTTGACTTTTTAAATCACTATACATGAAAAAACTGCAAAATATGAGCAAGAACTTTTATTTAAATAATTTAAAATTAGCAGTACATTTACCCTGGCCATGCAATGAATTTGTGGATGATTCTGTACAGATAGTAGACATATAATGATAAAAGGATTGACAGAGAACTAAATAAGATAGTTGTGCATTGATGTCATTTTTATTTTTATTTCATCTTTTCAATAAAGACGAAAAATACTATTTCCAGAATCAAAATACAGGCCAAACACTATCTGCAGCCATTTATACATGTTAAAGTGAAACACATAACAATTCTTCATACTATCATTATGTTGCTTAATAATTTACACAAGATTACACTAATAATTGTGCCTGAGCTGAGATTTAAAACCAGTTTTCTGGCTCAAGAACCTCTGCTAAGGGCCAGGGATTTAGCTCAGTGGTGTCTTACCTGCCTTGCAAGTGCAAGGTCCTGAGTTCAAATCCTGCTAATACGAAAAATAAATGAACCTCTGCTTTTGTAACTATGTAATACTGTCTCTAACTCTCACATAAGACTCAAATAGTTTTGTCTTCAGCAGGAGCGTGACTCCAGAGAAAAATATTAAATTTCAAGTACAAAACAAATGCATATTTTAAAAAGAAATAAAACTACTTTTAAAATTAACTATTTTTAACCATTTCTTTTTAGGTGTACTTTGGTACCCTTCATATATCAAAGTATGCTCCTCATACTTTTAACCTTCTTGATTCTTCAGGAAACTCATTATGAGTTTTGATCCATTTAACACTCTCACTTAGAAATGTCTATAGAGAATTTTGGAATGTCAGAGACAGCTTCTGTATCTTCTCAGTGGAACATTCATTCCCTCATCTATAGTAATTCTTCAAGTATTTACCTAATGGTTACTATCTTCCGGGCACCAGTATGCCTCCAGTAAGGAACAAAAGCTAGTTCATGAAATTCCTGGAAACTATGTGCTGGTACAAATATATAAGCGATATATACCTAGGAAATGTGCTAGGAAGTGATCAGAACCGGGAATGAACGTGAAGCTCTTTTTGGAGGTCTGGAGAGTTGTCTCATTTATATCATTTATAAAAATCACCTCTGAAACAACCGGGGTATTCTTAATAAAATATTCAGGGGGCAGAGATTTAGCTCAGTGGCACCGAAACTGCCTCACAAATGCAAGGTCCTGAGTTCGATCTCTGGTGCTAACATAAAATCAAGTAAAATAACCAAGGAATACTAACTTGTTAGAAGAAAGCATCTTCTCTGGGCCAGATATCTATGAAACACTGTAAGTACATTGAGACTGTTTCTGTTTTTCATGGTCACATCTTGATACTATTAAGTAATTTTTTCCTTTTAATCAGAACCTTCTCTTGCTGCATCAAACTTTTGTTCTTGACAACTGT